CCTCTCTCTTTCTCTCAGTCTTTCACCTGCATACGAATGATGCGGACAAAAGATCTTCAGATGCGTGAGATCAATGTCCAAGGTGATGTGATAATAATACATGCTCTTTTCGCTTGTCCTGATTCGTCTGCAACCCGATTCTCGGATCCCATTCAGATCTTCTTGGAACCTTCCTTCTTGGCAGTCGTCTTCTAAGCGACTGTCTTCTTCGTAGTCGTCTTTTTAGCAGCTGTTTTCTTAGCGGCTGGCTTTTTGACAGCCGGCTTCTTCACTCTCGCGCCTGTTGGGCCTTGCTTCTTTGGCTTGGGCTCTGGCGACTTGCGATCCTGCTCCTAGCGGGACCCGCGTCGCTCGTCGCCGTTCTCATCTGTTTTCTGGCGCTGGATCCTATTGTTGTTGATGTTCCAGCCCCGAATTTGGACAGGGCCGCGACGCGGAGGGGGTTCCGTAGGCGCATAATCTTTGATATTTTCCTTGTAGTCATACTGAACGGTCCGCAGCTCAGGACCTTGAGGCCAGCCTACTCTGTGAGCAGGCAGGGGCGCGGGGGCCAGCTTGGGGTATTTGCTGTTTCCCTGTGCACTTGGAGTTGATGAACCACTTCCGGCCCGGCTTCTAGACGGTTCGTTGGGCTGCTGCGGAACGAACTGAAGATTGGGAGGGCTTTGTACCGGGGCAATGGATGAGTAAGTGGGGGACATCCCCGGGTGCCCATAAGGTGGCGGTTGCTGCTGTTGTTGCTGCTGCTGCAGAGGTGGCGGCGGAGGTTGCGAGCCTGGGTAGGGAGGGTACTGGTTCATCATGGGCGGCAAACCAGGCTGCTCTTGTGTGTATCCATTGTGGTATGGCCTAGGTGGACCAGGGGGGTAGAACGAGCCACTGTTGGTGTTCATGTAGGGTGGCGGCGGGGGCTGTTGCTGTTGCTGTTGCTGCTGTTGCTGGATTTGGTGTTGTTCAAGCTGAACACTCTGCTCTGGTGCAGCAGGAGCACTCTTGCGGCCACGAGACGGTCGCAAGGGCGGAAGCGGCGAGCTCCTGTCCTGTGAAGGGTTTGTGAATGGCATACGTGATGTAGAGCCAGCTTGTTGTAGTTGAGGGGAGGCCTGAGCCATTGATCCTCCTTGCATTGGCATGCTCGGCAATTGGTAGCCCTGTTGGGCCTGGCTGTAAGCCTGCTGTTGATATTCATGGTGGGCGGCTGATGCGTCCATCGGGGCAGAGTAAAGACGCGGGTCGATCATGGGGTCTGCTTGCGGGAGGTGTTGCTGATTATGAGGGTGAGGCAAGTGCTGCTCATTGTAGGCTGACGAAGCGTTGTGTTCGTGGTACATAGAGTGCCGGCGGGTATCATTGGTGGCATCGATCGAGGACCTCATTTGAGACATCTCAACCGGGCGAGCGGGGGGTAACTGATTCGAGTACGGATCTCTCATCGACGGAGTCTCTATGGAGGGGTGAATGCGGCCGTCTGCACCTGGTGAAGCGATGCGGGGTTCAATCCAGCCGACGCTGTCGTTTGAAGGCGCGGTCTGGATGCGGAATTCAGCGGGAATGGGCTGAACTACGTAGCCGGAGTCGATGTGGTGATGATGAGGAGGGGGAGGGGGACCGTCGACTGGAATGGGTTGGCTGATGGGAGCTTCGGCCATGACAAGGTCGACGGGCTGAGAAGGATACGTAGAAGTAGACGCATCGGCAAGGATTGCGAGCGCAGTGGTGTCGATGGGTTCCGGCAACAGGACAGGAGCTGGAGGCTCAACGGCAGCGGAATCAGACCCTCCGAATATGTCGCGAATAGCGTCATAAGCACGGGTAGTAGATCTGACGGGGGTCGGAGCGGGCAGGATCACCGGCTTCTCTTCGACAGATTCCACGATCTTGGCCTCCGCCTCAACGGCCTCAGCAGCCACGACCAGCTCCTCCAGACCAGCAATGTTAAGGGCAGAGTCGTTCATGGGGAGGGGCGAAGTGGCAGGCGTGTCCTCCAGACTCGCGGGCTCTGATTCCTTGATTGACTCGGCGATGAGTCGTTGCTCGGCGTATTCTTCTTGGATTTCCTTCAGAGCCTTGAGCTCAGGCCCCTCGATGTCCTCGGGGGAGATGTCTTCCTTTTCACAGATGGAAGAGAGAACTGCACCCATTCTTTCCGAGTGTGGCTTATCGGCTAGAGCAATCTCAACCTTTGCAACGGGCACGACACGAGATGTGTGGATGGTCTTGCCAGAGGGAGTGAGGAAAACAGTAGGATGCATCGGCTCTGCTTCCTCCTTTGGAGGCTCGGCGTCGTTTCTGCTTGTGGGCAGAAAGCAACCCAGTCGGGGGTGCGTGCCGTGCTTCTGTACAAGTTCCAGGTCGTAGTCCTCCTCGTCAAGGTCCCTAGCATCCCAACGAGCAAGGAGAGGATCAAAGTGCCATGTGTTCGAGTTCGGCTTTCCGAGATACTTCCCACGCTTAGCAAGTGTGGCTCCATGCCTAGGGGAGTTGGTCGAATCACGGAATCCAATCTCATCGTCGTCGAATTGGAATGATGGAGGGACAATGAGGCGATTCGCGATACTCGCGCCATTCTTGGCTGTCGGCCGGTTGACTTGCCTGCAACCGTATTCATCTGGCTCTGAAGCCTTTGCCGGCAAGGCTGGCTCTCTCTGGTCAGCGGTCAACGGACCCTCAGGTACCGGTGTGCTCTCATTTGATTCGTCTTCGATGGGGGCATGCTGAGCCGACATGATACCGGCAATATGACGGACGGGCGCGACATCGGCAGCAGACCTCTTGGAAGCCGGTTGGCCATCGGGTTGTTGATTGGCTTTACGCTTGCTAGTTCGTCCTCCAGTCGCCGCCGCGGAAGGTGGTGCCAGGGTCTCCTTGGCCGTCTGAGGTTCCGCCCAAGCAGCCTGTCTAAGGGCATGGGCTTCTGTGCCTTCAACGATTTGAGGATAGGGAACGAGTGCTCCTTCAACGTAGACTTCGTAGAGGCCGAATTCTTGGGCTTCCTTGTCTGAAATTTGCTTATAATTCCAGCCGGCGTCGACGAGCTGAGGCCAGTGTGAATAACCGAGACACGCCGAAAAAATAAAATTGGAAAACAGAATGAACTTACGTCAACAGGAAGACCATGGTCGTGAAGATATTCGAGAAGGTTGAGGCGATGAAGCTGGGCATCTAAAAATCTGTCTTCCATATCTTCAACTCCGTTCTAATGCCGCGGGTCACGTTAGCAAAGGACCAGGGGAGGGAAAAAAACATGACATATCAGTCGGGGCCTCACGAACCTTGAAAATATCGCGAACGGCGCCGAGTTTGGCATGTTTAGACTTGAAGACAGTTCTCGCGGCAGTCGCCAGCTTGTTCTCCAAGTAAAGGAGGGATCTCTCGAAGCGAGCGTCGAGATTATCCTCGATGACTTTGAATTCCGGCACTGTTGTGTGGTAGTCCTTGTCATTCGTGAGTGTATCGATGGAGCGCGAAGCCAGATCTTGTAGCGCAGGCTTCACGGCATTGGCGAGAGCTGCGTACTGTGCCTTGAGCTCGCGTTGACGCTCATAATTTGCCTGGACTTTGTCGTCTGAGAACTGCTTGAAGCGGCCGCGTCGACCAGTGCCGGCTGTGGCTGCGGGTTTGGGTGGCTCCTTCTTTGGCGCGACAGCTTTTCTGCCCCGGCCTCTACCGCGGCCCTTGGCCTTGGGAGTGAGCTGAGGCGTCGGAGTCGAGAAAGACTGCTCCGGTGTCTCAACGTCTGACATGATGGCGGTGGCCGTTCATGAAAGAGACGTGAAGACGGGGGAAATGGGGGTATGTGGAGGCAAAAGTGAGAGCGGGTATGGTGTAATGAGATGGGGGCGTCTGTGAGATGGGTAGAGTGAGGTACAGGGCGCGGTACGGATGGAAAATTGAGATGTGGTGCGGCCGAAGATTTCTCGGTCAATCTCAGAAAAGACGTGAGCAGGCGCGATTGCTCGGGGCCAGGAAAGTGCTTTGGCTTGAAGATGCCCGTAGGTTGTTGGCTGTTCGGAGAACAGGACGAAGGTGAAGGTGTGTGGGTTGGACGGGGATGGTAGTGGTGTGGGCTAAGAAAATGACAGCCGGCTGGCCTCTCTCTGCAACGACCGGAATTTCTCAATGAGAGACCAGCTTGGGAGGTGAATAAAAGGAATCAGGGTGAAGACGAGAGTCGTGCGCAGAGACGGCTGTAAGAGTGAATCAGGGCGAATGAGATGTTGAATTGGGAGCGTGGAACGAAGATTGCTTCGCTTTTTTCCCCTTCCTGCCTTTTGCAAATAATACCAGGCGGAGCGCAGCAGAGGCAGGAACAGACGTGACCACCCTGCTACAGCGAGGCGGAAGGCAAGGCCCAGCCCAGCACTGTGCTGCACACACTTACACCGATCTGGTAGGAGTAGGCACGATTTACCACGTTTTGATTCGTCCGGAGGCCAAGAAAATCCGACGACCGGAAATAGCCTTCTACCCCTGTCGGCAAAAAGAGGCAAGAGGTACCCGGTACATGACGATTCTGCCATCTGGCCGTCTACAGTGCTGTCACGTATCTTACTCCGTACCTTACACCACCTACCTTTCTTTACCTTCAGGTATCTGAGTGTAAGCCCTTTTTTCTGAGCTGGCTCGCTCGGGTCTTTGCAACGGGCATTTGCGACTTGGCAGGCCAACAAGCGAGCATGCCTGAATTGCATCCCGGGGCAATGATGAAAATGACTGTGGCTTCACTGTTCTATAGAACCTTGGACCTGTCATCATCGCTGCCTGCTCTTGCACTTGTTATCCCGTTGTCTACTATCTCTGTTGAACGCGTATAACCACGTACCTACCTAATTCTACATAGACTAAGGCGTTCCTTCTTTGCCGCTTCTCTGCGTCGTCCAACTCACAACAACCACAAAGCGCGTCCGCCATCATGACGATGACCTAAAGCTACTAGCAACGAGGGCCCTGTCCCGGTTCTCGTCTATGGCGCCTGTTTCCTTCCTGTTCATCCAAGAAATCCCAGCTGCTCTTCATATTCTGGAAGGACAAAGTCACTAAGCAAATACCCCCGCCGTTGATGGATGTGCAATAAATGGCAATCAGTCTTTTGACACTCTCCCCTTGCTTACTCACGTATCTTCCATCGATATCCGCGGTGCTGTTTTTCATTATCGTTCTCGTCCAACCAGACCGTGATGAGGCAGACATTTTCTTCTCAATCCCAAGTACCTCAGGCTGTTCGGACGAGTCGGACAGCCTGTCGGACGGGGCGACTCTTACAGGTGCTGGTCCCGTCCGGGTGGGCCTGTTGTTGAACCAGATCCCGAGCTCCAGCCGGACGGGTGCAAGTTCTTTCTCAGGACCCAGTGAGGTGCAGCGTGGTGTTGTTCCGTGGCTGGTACAGCTGGCTCACCGACGAGTATCTTGGGCTCGGAACAACAATGTACGGAATTAAATTAATAGGGGTTGAAGCATATAGTTCTATTATACACGCTCTGTTACTTACGACATCATGGCAACTAGCAGATGATGGCACCTCTTGCTGGAGGCTTGCACACAGTCACACTCCTGGCATGCTCGCCTCCCTTGCGTCTGTGATTCCTGCTTCGTACTCCGTACACAGTAACAAGTCGCCAGTTGCTCAAGGTTCGGGAGTGCCAGGTAAGCCTCATTCGCCCATGTACCGGCCCACTTAGCTAATAAGAGCCACGCTAAGAAGAAGGGACGAACAACAACCACCTCACACCAATATGCATTCAAAAGCAATGGATGGGTTCAATAGATCACGTTGAGGTTGGTCTGGGCCAGGCCTCAGTACTATCAAGAGCACCCGACAAATTAACGGCGAGACTCATGAGAGTGGCCTCCCAAGTTCAATAGATCCGATGTAGTCAGTTCCTCACCCTCCCTGCAGCGCCTGTAGACTTGAAGGTCCCGTCCATCTCACGACGCACGCCCGGGGGGGCGGATGCCCACGAGTCCCCTGGCGCCTAGGTGGACAGCACACTTCCTCCCGCACACCAAATGTACCGGATACCTCCCAGGTCCCGTCTCCCGCCGCCCTCTTCCTCATCCACCCCCTGTGGTTATCCATAATCCGGTGTCGCCCAATCCACTCCCCCGTACCAGGGGTCGGTTTCTAAGGAGGCCACTGACACTTGACGAGCTTGAAATGAAAAAAAAAAAAAAAAAAGGGCGAGGGTTCCACGGCTGAACCTCGTCTATTCCCGAGGCGCCGGAGCGCGCTCATGCCTGCTCACCGCCGTAGCGTCGCAAAAGTCAAAAGGTACGGCAGAAAGCGCCCCAGAAAGGGAAGAAGCAAAAAAAAAAAAAAGTTTCTCAGTCGCGGTACAACAGAGCGTGGGGTACACACCTTACACACCCTTCCCACCCCCCCGGCGCCGACACGGGTAGCAACAGCACCACCGCCGACCACCGCATCCCACTTTGCACCGCGATACACGCCGTACGCCGGACGTCACCTCAAAACCTAACCTGACCTCCACGAAACGGCCCGGACCGCGATACCTACCCATTGCGCCGCATACCCCCCCTCGCCGAGCCACCAGCATCCTTAATACAGTCGCCCGCCATGGCCAAGAAGCGCAAGCTCGGGGCGATCGACCACAAGAGCCACTTCGTGGACACCGTGAAGAAGAAGACTGGCGGCGGTGCGCCGCAGAACAACAAGAACGGCAAGAACAACAAGAAGAAGAAGAACTCGCAGAGCGCACACGCTATCGAGAGCGACGCCAAGAAGAAGAAGGCGCAAAAGCAGTACCACCAAAACCAGCAGCCCGTGATCCCCTTCTCCAAGGAAGACGCCATCCTGCTGATCGGCGAGGGCGACCTCAGCTTCGCAGCGAGTCTTGCGACACATCATGGCTGCCGTAACCTGACAGCGACGGTCCTCGAGAAGAACGAGAGGGAGCTGCTGGAAAAGTACCCCCACGCCTCGGAGAACATTGCGCAGATCAACGGGACCGCCACTACCACAAAACCCACCAAGTCAAAAGCAGCAAAGAGCGAGGGCGATGGCGATGTGGAGGACGATGAAAACGAGTCACCAGAGGCAGAAGAGGAGGCGGAGGAGGACGAGGAGGAAATCGACGAGGATGAGGACGAAGACGAGAAGTACAACCCTCCCGTCCAGAACAACAACAAGATCCTCTACAACATCGACGCCCGCACCATGAAACCCTTCACCCGCAAATCCGCCCCGAACCACCGCGGCTATCACATGGCAGCCCCGACAAAGACCGGCATCTTCAACCGCATCCTCTTCAACTTCCCCCACGTCGGCGGCAAATCCACCGACCGCAACCGCCAAGTCCGCTACAACCAAGAGCTCCTCGTCGCCTTCTTCAACTCGGCCCTCCCCAGCCTGGCGCCCAAAGGCTCCATCGTCGTCACCTTGTTCGAAGGCGACCCGTACACCCTCTGGAACGTCAAGGACCTCGGCCGCCACGCGGGGCTACAGGCGCTGGAGAGCTTCAGGTTCTATTCGCACGCGTACCCAGGGTACAAGCACGCCCGGACGGCGGGCGTGATACGGGAGAAGAAGACGGGGGAGGCGAGCGGAGCGGCGTGGAAGGGCGAGGAGAGGGCGGCGCGGAGTTTTGTGTTTATGCGCAAGGATGAGGCGCCTGAAGAGGCGCCTGCTTCCAAGAAGAAGAGGAAGCGTGGCGGGGAGGAGAGTGATAGTGAGGAGGAGGTTGAGGTTTCCGAGGTGGAGGACTTTGATCCTAACGAAGCAGCGGGGTGGGTTGGGGAGTAACCAGCCAATAATGGAATATGAGACGGGAGGGATTGACTGCTCACGTATATCCGGCAGTGACCAGACGGATGGCTTACATCCCCTCAGGGGCTACGGAAGTGCAGAAGAAAGGCATGAGCAGCGCCTGAAGTGTGTATGGCCTAGCGGAGGAAGGTGATGCCTGGGATCGGCAGAGAACGCGAGTTCGAATTTGGTGGCCCTATATAAAGTCATGGCAGCTCATTTTTCGGTCTCCCTTTTCTTTCTCACCCACCTCAACCCCCCTTAGACTCCCAGGTCGTTGAGAAGAGGTTATGTGGTATTGGATTTGCCATTATTTTCCGTACATGTATTTCGCATCTAGGCAATAGGCAGCACGGCGTTCTTCATGGAATGGTCAAGTCGGTCCTCGGAACATCAAAAAGTTTTCTGGTTTTAGAAAAGCACAATGGAAAGCCCCAAGGCACTTTAAAGGGCTCACAAGAAAGAGAAAGACGAAAAAGGATAAGAAGTAGTGCTAATACTCGATCCCTTTCTCAAACTCTTCCAACCTCTTTTTATAAAGTGAACAGGTATCACACACTGGCAAAGTATAGAATAAAATTGTTCCTCTTCTTTCACATCCATTACTGCTACCATGATTCAATACTACCTTGGCTCAACCTATGTCTGTTATCTGCCTTTCTTTTGTTTGTACAAAACGCCATTGCCTGCTGTGTGACTTTTATGTCATGGTGCCCAAATGTTATTGAAAGAACCCAATGCCTGTCCGTTGGGAATGCCATGCCGCCGCCCTCCTATTCCCCTAGAAAGAAAAAAGAAAGAAAAAAGATGACACATTGGCCTAGGTACAGCTTTCACTTGACCACAACCAGTTTTCTTTTCCATGACCGAAAATATCCACATTATAATCATAACAAAACACCTAAACAAAACCAAAGTATCCGAGAGAGAGATACTTTGCTTGCTATGGGTGGGGGGGCTGCTGATTCCCTTCCAGAACGTTGAAAAATGCAATGTGCCTGCTTATACATACAAAGTCGGGTGCCTCTTCACTCCGACTTGTTCGCTCGGTCGACGCCTGCCCTCCATCAGATGTCGCACACTCTGGGTATCCCTTGCTCTCAAATACCACGTCTCAAGCCTGAGTTGAGCGTTGTGTCGTGACCGTGTCTAGTGGCCCAGAACCTCTTGCTGCCGAGCCACTTCATTGCCGGTATTAGCAACGGCGGACTCATCCACAGCTTCTCCCCCCTTAACCGGAGAATGACCGTGCAGGGCGCTTCCAATGTCCATAGCCTTGGTGAGCTCTTCCTCTTCTAGCCGTTCTGACTCCTCGTTCTCTCGCATTAAAGCCTCCTCCTGCTCCTTCAGAGCCCGCTGCTCCTCTGATAGCGGCTCCTCAGGGGTAGCAATAGGTGCCGGGTCAGCGGGAGGGGGCGGGGGTGGAGGCGGGGGTGTTGCACCATCCACATCAAACTCTCTTAAGCGCTTCACAGATGGCTCGTCCGAGGGAGTCAGGCTTTGTGACTCAACTGCCTCCTCCTCACGCTTGCGTTTGCGCTCAGGGCTACCCATCAACCCGCCTTCCTCATTGTCGGACAGTACAACGTCGTCAGCTGGTGAATCAATCTCCTTATTGGTCGGGGTGGCAGAGTCCTTTGACTTGTCCAAGTCGCCTTCGGGAGTCGCCTTCTCCTTTTCGATATGTCTGAACTTCACAATGGCCTTGTCCAAGAAATCCTTCACGTAGATCTTGACCTTCCTGGCTGACTTCTGATCAAGTGGAGTCGTGGGGTCTTGGATTCGATTGCGCTTGTAGTCTGATGAGACAAGTTTCTTGCAGACATCCTTGCCGAGTCGCTTGAGATCGTCCTTGGGAAGCTTGTGTCTGTACTTATCGACGACATACTTGACGTGGGGGAAGAGCTGCAGAATGGATTAGCAGATGGCCAGGAACTTGAATGAGGTTACATACCGTATTCTCATAGATCTTCATCTGTTTGTCGATGCTAAGAGAGCGCCACTTTTCCTGCTTGTTCTCCTGAACGGGAGTCTCTGCGCGTTGAGGTGTCTGTGATGCCGAGGGTCTGGGGGTGTGCTCCTTCGTGACTTGATCAATGATATTCTTGAGCAGCTGCTGCTCTTGCAACGCCTTGGGTGTCGACTTTTGAGCGTCAGCGGGTTTGGTGGGACGTTGCCAAGTTGTAGCACCGTTCTTGCTATAAAAATACGTGTTTCCGCGCTGATCCGTTGCTGTGAACCACCCGAGTGGTAATGCTCCATGGCCATTGAAGTTCTGGGGTCTTCTTTGGCGAGGAGGACCATTGAAGAAATGTGTGTTCCGTTGCGGAATGTTGCTTCGAGGTCCTTTGGGGATTTCGACATTCTGAAGGGGGTCGGGAGTCGATTTCGCAGTCACGTCCTCTTCGCGGTCCATGTTGCGCCTCTCTTGGAAGGAATTTGTGGCAGATGTGTTGGGGTCAAACTTTCGCTTCCCAATGCGGTAACCGAGCTCCAATTTGGACCATTCGTCCAACAGCTTCTTCGACTTCGCGCTGACCTCTTCATGTTCTGACTGACTGAGTACACCAATCGTGGCTTCAATCTTGGAGCCCTCAATCTTGTTTCGGGTCAGTCGCGGGAATTTGTCGAGAATATCGAGAGCCTGCAGAACGACGTTGTGGTCGTCGATAAAGGTGTTGAGCGCTGTCTTGAGAATCTGATAGGCGTGCATGCGCATGACGGAGTGGATCACCCGCTCGTCCTCACACCGTTGAATGCGCTGCAACAGCTTGACAGCAATCCATTTCTCCTTGCACTGCATCAGAGTCGCCATAACCTTGCGCGCATCATCGTCGTCGAGGCTTCTAGCCTGCACGCTGTTAACGTACTCTTCGTCATCTTCCTCGGGCTTCTTTTTGCGCGGCTTCTTGGCCACCGCTGTGTCCCAGGCGTCACCGTCGTCAATGCCGAGCGCCTCCACTGTAGTAAGGGGCAACTTGGTTGCCCGCTCGGTCTGGGTCTTGCCGCCAATGAATCCAGTGCAATTCGACTCGCCACAGTAGCAGGGTTGGGGGTCGGCTCCATAGCGGTCAACATTGTAGTTGAATACCAACTCCTCACCGGCTTTGATTTTGCGGGAGGAGAAAATGCCCATGCGCAGCTTTTCTCCAACGACCCATTTGTCGACGTAGCAGTTCGGGTTGCAAGAGTGGTTGCAAAAGCGCCCCAGGTTGCCCTTCTTTGTCGCATCGACGAATTCGTGCTTGGTCAGCGACATGAAGTAAAAATGCTTGATACCCTCATCATCGTACTGCACCATCCGACGTCGGAATGTTGGCTCGTTAATGACCTCGCCAATGTATTCGAAAATGAAGTCGTTAGCCTGCATATCGACGTTGGCGCGGAGGCCGAAGCCCTTCTTCTCTGTCTTGATGACTGAAACGTCGGCGAACTGCTTCCGCTGAAATCTCTGATTCTGGCAGCCGTCACCGCAGTTGCCGGCGCCAGCGAGGCACTCCATCTTCGTCGCCCTGTTGATGCAGTCGGAGTCTTCGCCACAGGATAAATTTTTTCCTTCCTCTGTAGACACGCAATGTTTAGTCAGGGGCTGCTCGCGACGGTTTCGCACAGCAGCGAGAGAGGACGGGGGAACTTACGCCACTCGGAACGGCAGTCGCAGTCGAGAGCATCGTTGTCGGTTGAGCCCATGTGCTTAGAACCGTACAGACAATCGGGTATGACCTGGAAGGTGCTGCACGACTGCTCCGTGGCGTCTGGCAGGTCGTGGAAGAGAGGCGATTCGCGTTTTACGGGCTTCTGCGATGCTTTGCGTGAAAGTTTCGGTCGCTGTGCGCCTCCTGGCGTCGAGATGCCTTCGCCATTGACCATGCCCTCACTGGGCGACATGCTAGCGGTGCGGGACCCCTGGTTGCTCTTCTTCTGCGAGGACGTCCTGCTTGGGTCTCGCTCCATGTTGACGCCGTTGGGCGCGACGCCATCCTCAATTTTTACCTCCTCCATCTTCACCGTCGCCAGCGCTTCATCCTCCATCAAGCCAGTGCGGGAACCCTCGGTAGGGCGAGTGCGCGAGACGAGGGATGTGTAACGGTATTCGCGATTCGTGTCGTCCAAAGCCTCGAGCTGCGGCGGTTGCTCAGAGAAAATCGAGAGGTTAAAAAGGAGGAATTTGCGATTCAGCCAGGTCGGTGCGCATGTAGGGGCAAGAGCTGTTGTGTTGGGTGGGGAAGGAAAGAAGGAACGGGAATGCGAGAGAGAGAAAACGGGGGGACGAGTTGAGGCAACGGCGCGTTGGGTGGTGAAGCGATTACTAGTTGGAGCCAGAGATTCTCGGCATTGCAGACAGTCGCTCGACGTGCCGGAGATACAATTGGGGCTATGGAGGGCCTGCGTGAAATAGGGTATACCAGAGAAGAATTGTTGGTTCGGCTGGCAGAGCGCCAGGAGAAGGAGGGGAAAAAAGTGAGGTGAATCCAGAACGCAGTCGCAAAGGACGGCGGACACTGGCGAAGATTATCTCACAGCAGTTTCCGAAGGTGCGCAGCCACTAAGCTCGTCGCGCTTTGGGCTTGGGGTCTAAGAGCCTAGCCACTTCCCTGTGGTTGAGCCTGGGAGCGCCGCCGACAGCTGTAAGCCAATTTGTCAATCACGGCCAGCACCCCGATCCGACCGGCGGTGTCAATTGTTCGGATCATATCTACCGCCGGGCCCCGAGGTCTGGCCTTTTGAAATCCGATCGCAACTTCCCCAGGAATAGCATGCGGGAGATCTGCCCAATGGCTGTGTCTAAATGAACCCCACCATCGAACCCTGGCCGGTACAAAGGTACTCATTTTTGTTGCTGAATCTCACGTCACTGAAGCCACAGCAAATGGATTGCTCAATTACCCAATACTATGTGTGTTCTGGAAGAGCATACCTAGCTTCATTTTCGAACCCAAAAACCAAATAACATTGGTGATATTTGTTGTGTTCTTTCCTGTAAAGCATTCTCTAGTGGATATTTTCCATACTAAGCCTTGGAGATTATACAAGTTGCATGCATTCATGCTGACTTGTTTCTCGCACCGGGAAGCATAATTCCCTGCATGTAGACAAGCTAGAGTATCTTGGAAAACCGTGAATAACAACTTTGATATTTTTTTCAAAGTACGGCCCAGGGAGTGCAAGAGCCATGCCAACATCAACATTACAAACATGGGATACCAGGCCGAAAGGGGAGCACCAATCGGTAAATTTATGTGTAAGCTGGGGTTCATCGCAATCAGGAAACTCAGTTTTGGGTTGTCCCTCACCGACACTTTGCATCCACCTGGTCTGTATTATATCCCACATAAGAAACACCCTTGAGCATTGAGAGTGCTATTTTACATCGGAGGCTTATCTGGGCCAGGTGGTATGCGGAGACGGTGAGTCTTTGAAAATCTATACACCTTACTTAGTACAACTACATGGCATCAAGTATCGGCCAATGCCCAGTCAAAATGCATCAGATTTGACAACTTGACCTAGAGTCGAGCCACCCAGTCGCCCTCTCCATGGTAGAGCATTGTCACTGTACCATGTTCATCCGATGGTCAACTAGTCGAGTGCAACCTGCGCAGCCCGACGGGGTTGCTAGTGTCCAGAAGATTGGCTACCGAGAAGATGTAAGCAGGAGCCCAAGGGTAAGGGTAGTTTGAAGCAACATGATGCACGAAACCTAGCGATGTGATGCAGACCTCACAATGTGGCAACGATGCCGTCGCATGGGAGAACCAGCATGTAGTAGCCGTACCCAGCCTTGGATATGCTCGACTACTAGTTACGGCCGGCCTGGGTAGTTTGCTGTCATCTGGAAACGGCGGAGCCATTTACATGGACGCGTTGTACATGGGTGGGGCCTTCCAGTGGGAGGGTGCCAGCTCATTGTGCAGCAAAGACGTCGCTGAAGCTGGATGAAGTGGCCAAGGTGGGCAGTGAGTATAAAGAGGCGGTGGACGAACGCAGCGACCCATTAAAGTCAGAGTCAATCCGTCGACTCATCCAATCCGACTCTCATTTGACTTGGTCTCATCGTTGTTGTCGTTGTCGTTACCGAGCGAAAGTGCTGATGCGTCTTGAGATTTTTGCTGCTTCAGCCCCACTACAGATACATCGACATCCTTTGCCTTTCATTGGGGTCACAGATTGGGCCGCCGCCCCGCGCGCAGGATTCCGCGGGTGGGAGATTCAGCCTTCAATCCATTGCCCACTGAGATGCGGCGCTGCCTTTGCTGCGGCTCTCTCTGACAAGCGGAAACAATGTGACGAACCCGTGCCCTGTGCTGGCTCGGATGCCGGTTTGGGTCTTTGATTGGCGCAGAAGGAATCCAGTGGTTTCCTGCCAGAGTCGGCAGAGGACTGGGTTTGGAAATGCTGCGGCCAATGAGGGCTACGAGCTGCGAATTTGTCGCGGGCACTAGGATGCCCAGATATCCTTATTCGGTCGTACGTCGATCATTTTTTCCTTTGCTGTCTTTTTCGTCCAAAAAAAAAAGGACGTCCGATGTTCCAATTTTGAGGCAAACGGCGCGCATTCTCTGAGGGGAGAGTGGCATGACGCACTGTCAATCTTCACGACGGAGACGGGGAAGGCGGGGAGGAGTAGGAAACTTGAGGAAGGAAGGACAAGAAGCGGCCCGGGCGCCTGCTGACGGAACACTCGCCGAAGTTGGTGGGGGAAGGGAAGGAGGGGCCGGCGCATCCCAATTCAAGCACACCTTCCTTGGGCTGCCGATTGTACGCTGGACTGAAGTTGGTCACTGGCGATGGCGGCAACATTTTCCACGGTACTTATTTCTCTACCTCGACCTCAATACTCGCAGGCACAATCACAACTGTTGGCTAGTGCTGACGAATACCCTCACGGTTGTCTTTATTTCTCATTCAAGCTTACGTCTCTTATTGTGACCAAGCAGGGAGTATCATGCTTTCAGCCTACACCACGACAATGACGTCCTGCAAGTAGCAGCGACCCAGAGTCAGGCGCTCCATGTCGAGCCACCGGATTGGCCACCGGATGCAACCTCCAGGGAGAGCCTTGAATCGCACTGCATCTACTTGTGCATCTGCACGCCGCTCTCCCATTCCGCAGAGAACCGCTGCTGCATCTGGCTCATCTCAGCCCAGTTCTGGGCCACTAGCACCATGACAGAGGGACCGTGCTGCAGCGAAGCATGTGTGCAGGACGGGCGGGAGACAAGGGTGGATGCTCTGTCGATTGCATATTGAAGACCAGAGGGAGAATGTGCAACGCAGCGCACCGCAGCGCACCGCAGACCTTCCTACCTACTGTACAGCGTATGCAGTCATATGCGATATGATGGGTGGCTACGAATACCTCCAGTGAGAGTCAACCTGCTAGCTATTACGAGAGACGGCCCCCATTCTCGAACTCGAATGCGATCGAAAGAGGCCCAGTTGAGGCCCTCTTGGTGTGCTTGTTGGCCAACCAAATGGAACCTCTTCCACTTTGGGGGACTGGTGAGACATGCGCAGGGAAAATGGCCAAGAAGGATGCGGTTGGTTGCCGACGAAAAAGCAAGAAAGCAGCGACGGAATGGGAGGCGCGAGAGGCGCGTGGGACAAAGCCACTGCCGGGGAAGACGAAAGAAGCCAGCCGCAAGAGACAGCCCAACCCAGGGACGGGAACTCTGGCGAGATAGGGTAGTATGGGATTTCAAGAGGCATCAGCGGCAGCGACGGCGACAACGACAAAAGCAGAGCTTCTCAACGACATCCTGACAAGGTCAAAGCCGCGCCCAAATAACAGCCGATGCGGATGATGACTACGACGCCAGTCAAGCACACTCATCACTTCCACACCACACCACCACACTTCGTCGTTGCGCTCTCAACCTGATTCTATTAGCCTCTGGGTTCTCGACTGTTCATATGCGCCTACAAGCAGCTTGCGCCAACTTTCGGCATCCATACCACCCACCAACTCAACCCACCTCTTTCTCTCTGCACTGCCTAGCATCAACTTGCGACTAGATTGGCGGTGCAGTAATAGTCCATCATTAACGGCTGGCGAGCGAAAAAGAGCTGATTTGCCGTCCAAGACGAAGCGGTCTTGACAATCCTCCCGGAAACGCTAAGTCGGCTGGTGTTCCTATTCGATCTTCTGCACTCCATTTTGGCTTCGACTTCGATTTCGTCACCTAAGCAGAAATTCCTCCCCGCCGGTCTAGGCGTTGCTCATTCCAGACGGGGCCCTAGTCAATGAGCCGCAGCCTGCCGTCTTTTGACAGTCATCGCCATCAGTCGATAGATCTGCGGGCATTCCCCAGCCACCTTCGCTCGGATACTGCAACTCTACACTAGAGTCATCCAACAAGGCAAAGGCACTTTTGGAGATGCGACTGATTTATCCATTTTGCGCATGATATTGTTACCTTGAGAGGTTTCCCAGAACTCACGACTGATCGGATTCCCCTCCCCTCTCGTCATCACGGATCTTAAGACAAACAGTGTCCGCCTCGCCCGTCGATCGAGTCCGAGGCTAACTAGAACGAACACCTTCCAACTCTCCGACCTCTTACCCTTGCTGCGAGCAGCCGTACCAACTTATCGTACGGATACTATACTTCAACTGAACCACTACCCTGGAAGATCTCCCAGACAGGCCTAACGCGTAACTGACTTTTCGGCAAACCTGTCTCGCTTGTTTCCCCCCAGAGTCCCTCACGCGCAAAACACGCCTCATAAATGTGACCCCGACCCTAGTCGCACCAGCAAGTCCCCGAGTGCGCGCCGTGCAGGCCCTCGTCGCAAAGTGGTCCAGGTCCCAGAAGCAAACGAAACAATCGAAGCCTCCACTTCCTCCTACACGGCCTGTCTAGGCTGTGTTACCCCCCCTCATTGCGCCTCGTCCAACATCCTGTCAACTTCGTTGTGGTGCGAGGCCTTCTTCACGGTGGCTTCAGGTCGAGAACGCGCGCTTGCGCCGGCCTGATCGCTTCCCCTCTTCACCACCCGTTTTTGCCTTCTTACTCCGTCTCGTCTTTACAGACGCAGCTATCGACATTCTCTTCTAACGGCGCCAACGGAAGGCCTACTGGCGCCGCTTCTTCTCCGTCTTTGCCGCGAGCTTTTGTTCTCTGCCGCCGCGCTTGCCCGTCATAAAGGGTGATTGCTTGGTCACAGGACTCTTCTAGTCGACGGTACCGGCTCCGTCGACACCGGTCGCGCGCTCTGCGTCCTGCCTCTCACCATTACTATACCCTCAGTAGCTCTTCGCTCGTCACCACGGCTAGTACAGCCGATCCGCTCGTTTGCTTGAACCCCACGTCGCAGATGCCTATCCCGTCTCCTCTCCGGATTAAGATCTCTCTCTTTTATGAAATCCGTACGGGTAGTAACCAGCCCTTGTCGCGATGGCTTACTCCTTTACAGAGGAGGAAAAGGTAAGCAGTAGGCCCCCATCCGGTCACGGACCATCGACACTGACGCGCATCTCAACGGCAGAGGTTCATCCTCGCGGAAGCCATCAAAAATAGCAGCCTAGATGTTGGCCTCTTAGTAGGATTTTTGAAAACGCACAATGTTGAGCCAGACTGGCTCAAGATGCAGTTGCCTAGCGGTAGAGATCGCCAGCTTTGACAAACCCGAGATTTCGTGCTGATAGTCACGACATAGGCCGCACTATGGAGCAATGTCTTGCAGTCACCGGGCAGATGTTCCAAGGTCCCATGCGGGTCCCAGACCTCAAGCGGAAGTCCATGAACGACCTTCTCGAGCAACCACCAAAGCGTTTGGCTGTCGCGTCTCCTATGGAACCACCAGCGCAACTACCACCCTTGGCCTCAGCGACGCAAGGCCTCGCAACCTACTCAAGCTCGATGCCCTTATCCTCGTTGTTGCCAGCGCCTTCGCAGCTACATAATCAGCAGCTCGCCAACATACAGCCGCGGCCCGCCGGTATGGAAATTGTCGGAGTGGCCAACGGCTCTCGAAGCCCTGGCCAACAACAGCAAGCATCGCTCCCACGGAAACGAGGTCGACCATCACGGGCGGACAAGGCGAGACAACTACGACCTTTGCTCCCCCAACACCTTACACCTCTAGCCCCGGCGCCCCGGCCTTTAGCTAGAGAAAGCCCAACAACGCCAGGAGAGTTCGCCGTGTATAGATTATCACCCGGTCCATCTTCGGAGGCCGCCCACGAGCCGCCAAGGCGAGGGCGAGGTCGGCCAAAGTTATTTGGTAGGACACAGTTGGTAAGTGGACATGATTTTGCGAGTCGATTTAGATTCTGATCCGGATCCTAGGGTACTTCTACAGGCGAACAAACGAAGACAGAGTCTGGGCGATCAACACCTAGCGAATCATCGCGCCAGCAATCTGATGAAATACCCCGAAACGCCTACAACGAGGAAGAAAGTGTATCGGATTCGCAAAAGGAAAAGGCTATTCCGAATATTGGCCACTTACAACAACAAGAAGGGCTAGCGAGTTAGCAGTGCGTAAAGAAGTTGGGCCGACGATGATGATCCGACCTTTCATTTATCCATTGCTACGTCTTCGAAACTATAAGGCCTGGACGAGCAAAGTCTTGCCACGGTCGTCTTCGACAAAGTCAGGGTTAACACGGCTGGATGTCTGGTACAATGGAAGTGTATTTCTAGAGCTCATGGCGTTGTCGGACTGTTTGATTTTGCATATACCGGCCATGGACAGAACAGGGCGGTTAGAGTTGGCTTTTTTGTTTTTCTCATTTGGTCCAAGGAGTTTAGGGAGGACAGGCGTGTGACCTCGGGACGAGTTACATGGACTGGGATGACGAGCACGACATGTACGATATGATGGGACCTGGATGTAGCAATGCCAAACACATGGCTTCCTTTCTGCATAACATGGACATACACATTTTTACGGGAGTTGAATTTCGGATCGCCGAGTGCTAAACGTCAAGGTCATATGACGGCATTGTTTCAGAAGTCGTTATTTTTGAACGTTTTTTTTTTTTTTTTCAGAAATCAGTCCCATACGCTAAATAATGATGTTGGCTAGACAAAGTCCCAACCGCAGATAATGCTTCCAAAACAAAACACCCAAGATACATAAAGCAAATGTTCATTTTCCATGCTTTCTCATCTTATTTCTTCATTTCTTTTACCAAGACTTGACGATCTTCTCCAGGGCCTCAATGAGAATATCGGCATGGTGCTCCTGGAAGATGAGCATGGGCCGCAGACGGACGGCGCTCTCGCCCGATCCGCCAATGTTGATGCCTAGACCCTTTGCCTTCTTGAGGAACTCGTCGCGGCGCGGGTTGTCAAAGGCGATGAAGGTGCCCTGGCCCTTTCCGCGGAGGTTGGCGAATTGGCCCGGGTACTTACTCGCGAGACCCTCGAGCTTGCCAAAGAGGTAGTCGCCGACGCGAGCCGTGTTGTTGACGAGGTCGAGGCGCTCAATCTCGTCGACGATGGCGCGGAAGAGGATGGCGCGCGCCGGGTCGCCCATCCAGGTGTTGAACTGACGGTAGGGTTTGTTGGGGCGCAGCTCCGGGTTGCCGAAATAGTAGCCGGCCGTCTGGGCCTTTTTGCTAAAGGTGACCATGTCGGGCGGGGAGGGGAGGTCCCAGTGGTCGTGGGCCCAGAACTTGCCCGTGGCGCCGACACCCGTCTGGACCTCGTCGACGATGAGGAGGACGTTGTGCTTCTTGGTCACCTCGCGGAGGCCGCGGAAGAAGGCCGGGGAGGCGTGGTTGTCGCCTCCTTCGGACTGGATCGGCTCGACGATAACCGCGGCAGGAGGGATGTGGTAGTTCTTGATGAGGTGCTCCACCTCGTCGAGGGCGGCCTTCTCGGCGGCGGCGTTCTCCTCGACGTGCTCCTCGAGAGGGTACTTGAGCAGGGGGAATGTCGCTTGGGGCCAGTCAAAGGCGGGGATGTCGAGCTTGTGGATGGGCTTGGAGCGGGTGGTGGAGAGGGATCCGAAGAGGCGGCCGTGGAAGCCTGTCTTGAAGGAGAGGATGGAAAGGTCGGAGGCGCCAGGGGACTGGTTGTTCATGGCGGAGGAGGTCTCCTCGGCCGTGAACTCAACGTCAGGGCCGCCGCGCTCCTGCTGGCGGCGCCACATGAAAGCGGCCTTGTAGGCCGTCTCGTTTGCGTCGGAGCCAGCCATGGCGGTGAAGACCTGGTCGAGGCCCTTGGGCGCCACCTTGAGGATGCCGGTACGGAGGATCTCGGCCCAGTCTTCGGGGGGGAAGTTGCCCAGGGCGGGGCGGTTGATGATTGCGTTGATCATCTCGGGGGTCTTGGCTACCTCAGCGAGGGCCGGGTTGTTGTAGCCCAGGGGAATTGAGGCGATTTGAGCGTAGCTGTCAACATCTCGTAAGCTTTTGGTCCTACATGTAACAACTATCTCTCTCCACACGGTTTCACTTACACATCGAGGAGAACGTTGCCGTCGGCGTCGGCAATGTAGTTGCCCGAGCTCTTCTTGTAGTCGGTGAGCATGTTCAAGCTGCGGGTGTCAAAGACCTCGTGCAGGTCCTCAGTGGCCTTCTTGGACGCGGGGCCGGGGATGGCAGTCTTGAGGGCCGGGCCGGAGGGCTCGCCGGCAAAGAGGCTCGGGGCGGCAGCCATGCGCGGAGCGGAGAGGCAGAACGCTCTGCGCGCGGTGGGTGTGCGGGCCACGCGAGCGGCGGGACGCGCCAGAGACGCAGAGGCTCTGAGGAGGGCCATTGTGTCTGGTGTTGTGTGTGTCTCTGTGTGTATGCGAGTTCTCTCTTTCAGTCAGGAAATGAAGCTCCTCTATGTCGCCGTGTCACCAAGATAATGAAACAGCTTCTCTAAGATGTGTAGAGAGACGTTGTCCAGTTGGGAGTTTTGTGCGATATCGGAGGGGGAGGGAGAGGGGTATCAATTGGTCAATCGCAAAAGAAAGATGAGCAAAGAGAAGAAGAAGAACGTCGAGCAATACTCAGCCAGGCGGGGGAGAGGGAGACCAAGTTTATAGATTACGGGTGGCAGCGGCTTATCACCTCGACAATCTAACGTAACTCAACGCCGCGTTGCCGTTGCCGGTGGTGGAGAGCAAGTACGGATGGATACCTTAGATAGTAGCAGCCGCAGTAGCGTATGTAGTACGGATGTGTCTTGTTTTGAGCTTTGGTCCCCTGGTCTGGTGTTAAGTCAAGGTACGGTACCTTTGCCCTTTCTTGACCGCAACGACAAGACCGAGCGCCACTTCCTCAGCTGTCCTATCTACACTAAGATAGGTATCTTTTTGCTGGCCGGGGGAGGGAAGCTGGCACGACCAGCTAATGCAAGCACGGCAAGGTCTCCAAACTCCCAGCGAATGCGATGACGGGGAGACCTGCCAAGATTACGTGCCAGTCGAGGGAAATGCGGGGCAGATTGAAAGCTGGGGTCCTTGGGTCTGACCTCACACACACACACACACACACACACACATAGCAGTGACACACTGCCTTGGTACGGAGAGGGACCTTAGGTACACACGGGCCTTGGTTTGGAGGGGTAATTTACGCCGTTTACGCCGCCACCGCCTTCTTTTCTCTCGCTTCCTCAAGGCACAAATTACTCGAGGCAAGCCAGCGTAAACGGCGTTAACGTGCAAAGTGTTACCTACTCTCCTCTTCAAATCAGGCATTCCGCCGGGCATGCACTTTGGTTCCGACAACAAACATTTTGTACGAATGTGTCCAGGTCACAAGTGTTGGAGGAAGCTCGGCCATGTTCATCCTGATACCATGAAACTCTGATGGAGCTTGGGTGCAGCTGCCAGCAGGTATCTTCTCGTCGACACAGGAAGCGCGCTACCGCGATGAACGTACCCCAGATTTCGCCCAATCGGTTCTCTTTGCGCGCATTCGCCTCGACCTTGGACGTTCTTCATGCCGTCTTTGCCGCATCTTCAGCCTCAAAAACATACTCATCCAACTGCTTTTCGCCACATCAACCCCTTTCCCCCGGACTTACTGATATCATCCTCTCAATACATACATCACCTAAGCACTCGGCGACACTCCGTCGCATTGCAACCACAGACATCAGGTGATAAGCACCCAATCCCATTGATACGGATACCATGATAAGAATGGAGAATAAACTCCCCTCAAAGTGGAAACAAACATATCCACCGCCAGGGGCAAACATCTGGGGACGACCTATCCTTTAGCGCTCCGCAAAAAAAAAACACACCCACACCAGCCGATGACGGGACCGGAGGACCGGAACCGGGAAATGTTGCCGGTTCTCGCGCCATGCCTAGGAGATTGAAATTCGCCCCTCCTCTCGTCTCCGTCGCATATTGCCTCTTCAATTGGATATCATGACAAAGAGCATTGAACTTGTTCAAATGGCAAGACTAGCTCTAAGCTTCCGCTCCAACGCCATTGTTCTGCCCGATGGCGACAGGCCGGGATGGGGCTCGGAGCCGGTTGGTGACACCACCCCACATCGGCGTCCGGGCGGATGCGTGCCGGATGCCGAGGGTTATCTTGAAACTTTTGATGAGTGGCCGTCACCCGACCTGGCGGAGGACTGCGGCCGGTTGATCGGAATGCACGTAAAATCATGTTCCATCACAAAAAAATCTGATCAACTTGATCAAATCGAGAAAATGTAGCAAAATGGGACTCTGTCCATTGAAATTACTTTCGTGCGTTCGTTGCAACGATGCTCTTTATGTGCACAATAATCAATCTAGCCTTTCCCAAGTATTCTGCACTTCTTTCCTAGCCAAAGAGAACATGCTATACATCCAGGTTCGAATACAGTCGACCACCCAGGAATGCTCTAGGAAACAGGATTTGAAAGAAAAAACAATATGTGAACGCCAGACCCAGATACGCTAAGCCGCAAGTATCGCAATGTGGGTGGTATGCAAAAGCTAAAATAGACTTCCTCCTTCTCCGACAATATATCCAAGTGTGTCGGAGGTGAAAATGCTGGCAAGGTGCAGTAAATATGATGCAAAGGTGATTTGAGCCCAAAGCTCAGAAGACGAACGCTCGTTGCTCCAGAGGTAGGCACTTCATCAGTGTCCCTCCTTCTCCTCAAGCTCCCGCATGTATCTCACGAAACTCTTCTTATGTACCTGAAACACAGTTAGTCACCAGGCCTCATCAAAACATCTGAATTCTCCGTACCATTCCTG